TTTTTTTTTTTTTAATAAATTTCAGGCTGCATTTATTCTTCAGAATCTCCTTGTGATTCCAATGCCTTCAGTAATTATAAAGGATTATACTTGGCAGGTGGGTAACTTGAAACAATTATCAGCCTAGTAGATTTTTGAGATTAATTGATGATAATTTGAGATTAATTATGATTAATTTGAGTTTAATTGAGCGTATATACATTCTATTACTGATTAAATTGTATACAAGGCAACAGGATCTCTTAAAAGAAAATCTAGAATTTCTTTTTATACTTGATCGGATTTAAAAATTCACCTCTATAGTGTTGAAAATAATTTTAAATGAAACTAGTAATAGCCAACGTGGCGTTGACTGTGTACTAGGCATCTTGTAGGAGCTTCACAGATACTAACTTGTGTAGCTGATTGTGAACCATTGCAATCCTCATTTTTTAGCTAAAGAAGCTTCAGCACAGAGGGTTTCAGTAGTTTGCCCTGAATCACACACCTTCGCTCTCATCCTGGGTAGTCTGTCATTTCCCTACTCACTATGTTGCCTCTAAGTTAATAATAACAAATTTGCTTATGGTTAAATATGCATTGATGTTGACATCTTTTTTCCTTTTCTGGGTTAGTGCACAGTTCAGGTAATAATTTATCTTTCTTTGGTTCCTACTGGATTAATTTTTTTGTTTCACGTTCTGAACATCAAGTCTAGTAGTACCTCACTTTTAGCAGCCTGCCGCTTATTAGATCAATTGGAGGATAGAAAAGTGCTTTCACCGGGGAGATAAGATATGCGTTTTTTCCTACCCTATTTCCTGTCCATCTGTCCTCATCCTGTACGTGTATATTTATCCCAGTGTTGTATCTTCCTCCCCAGGGTCCTAGACAAAGCGCAGGCTTCTTTTCAGATTTTCACTAGAGTGTATCTTTGGAGGAGTCTCTGAATCCAACCGACCTGCCTGCCGTGAGGGCAGCCTTTCAGGCGGCCACCTGAAGCGTGAGCCCAGGTGACGTTAAGGCCCAGATCTTACTCAGCTCTGGGAAGGGTCACTTCTCCAAGCTTTGCAAACCCAGGGTATCTCTGTCAGTTACTGAAAATCCCAGGCCACTTGTCCCCGGGTTCTCTAATTTGTTTACTGTTGCCTTCTGATCATAATTGCTTATTCACAGTCTGTGTTCTAATACAACCATCAGAGACAAAACCGGAAGGAGTACACAGGATTAATATCTATATTAACAGTGTGTAGTTTTGCTGCCTGTTATCCACTAACTAGATCTTAACACGTGTGTTGTTTTTGGCTGAAATACAAATCATTGCTACTCCCATTGTTAAACCAGTGACACTTGTGCACCCTTTCATCCCTGCTATAATTTTTCTGTCGTGTTATGATTTACCTTTCCTTGTAATAGGCTTTAAATCTTTTCTGGAACAAGGTGAGACATGATTTAAAACTTTTAAAAATTAAAAAAAATATATTTATTAAAAATATTTAACTGCTATAATTCACTTTAATCTTCCTCTTTGAAAGGCACTAGCATTTAGTGTCTGCACCATTAAATCTGTTCCTTTTCATATATTATCTGTACTGCCTTGCCTTATTTCTTGCACTTAATTTAATCTTTCTAAGTAGGGTGATGTATGTTTCAGGGCCATATTTTTCATATGCTTTTTAAGTATGCCTCTTAGCCCCACCGCAGAGAAGCCAGTGCCCCATCAGTCTCTGCTAACGCATGCGAATGAGCAAAGCGTTCCATTTAGCCCATTGGTCTTACTGATGTTGCTAAGTAAACAAAGTTAAAAACCAGGTCCTAATTTTTGCAGCATAATCCCCTGTTTATTTTTTCATGGATGCAGAAACGTATTTGAGGTGGGTGGTCAGAGGAGGAGGAGCCGTAAAAGCCTGTCCTAGCAGCGCCTCCCTCAGCGCCGGCATCCCTCTGCTGGGGGCCTGGAGACCGGGCCCCCGCTGCCTGAGAACCCAGTTCTGGCGCATCAGCCCGGGGCTCACCACAGAGCCTTCTGTTCGGGGCGCTGTGTTCAGAGTGCTGTTTATAAATGTAGGTCTTTCTTTTTTTTTTTTATTGTTAGTTTCAGGTGTACAGAACAATGCAATAGTTATCCTTTTCAACCTTCGCATAGAAACAACCCCCCTCCACCATCTCCTGCCCTCCCACCCCCATATCATGCTTATCTATTACAATTCCATTGACTCCATTCCACGTCCCATGACTATATATATATATATATATATATATGTAATTATAATTGACATACATTATTATTCAACATCAGCTTCAGAAATACAGTGCAGTGGTCCGGCCTCTACACTGACTATGAAGTGATCTCCCTAACAACACATGAGTCTATCTGGCCCCCTAAAAAATACTTAAAACATTATTGATTATATTCCCCAGACTGTCTTTTCTATCTCTGAGGCCATATTGTAGTTACCAATTTGTATTGTCTCATCCCTTCCCCTTCTCCTTCATCCCCAGCCCCTCCCAACTAGCAACCCTC